GCTATCATGATAGAACAGCTGTGTCTCCTTCACAACATCTCACACTTAGTACAACAACTATCATGATAGAACAGTTGTGTCTCCCTCACAACATCTCACACTGTTAGTACAAAAATTATCATGATAGAACAGCTGTGTCTCCCACACATCATCTCACACTGTTAGTACAACAGCTATCATGACAGAACAGCTGTGTCTCCCTCACAACATCTCACACTGTAAGTACAACAATTATTATGATAGAACAGCTGTGTCTCCCACACAACATCTCACACTGTTAGTACAACAATTATCATGATAGAACAGTTGTGTCTCCCTCACAACATCTCACACTGTAAGTACAACAATTATTATGATAGAACAGTTGTGTCTCCCACACAACATCTCACACTGTTAGTACAACAGCTATCATGACAGAACACCTGTGTCTCCCTCACAACATCTCACACTGTAAGTACAACAACTATCATGATAGAACAGCTGTGTCTCCCTCACAACATCTCATACTGTTATAACTTAGAAACAATTAACATGAATGCAACAGAACATCTCATTAGTCAATACAAAGCATTAATTTCTAAAACTAAACCGTTCAGCTCCAGGCTTATGGCCTATAATACCTGGCAGACTTCAGTCTACTAGTGACATCCGAGTCTGAGTCTCTGTAATCAAATCATTTTATACACACATCATTTATGTGTAACTCACTGTAAAATACACAAAGACAATGTACCCCTTTGTCTGCTACATACACTGTGTCACTTACACACACAAGACAAATAAAAATAAATGAAAAAATGAAAAAATAAAAAGATTGAAAATATATACAATTTTGTATAAAAAAAACACACAAGAAAAACTTATCTTTATTAATATATGACACATGAAATTGTATCATTGTGTAGACAACCATCCACCAAATAAAACATTGAAATGAAACCTTTTACCAACTATAAGTACAACTAAAGGTAGAACTACATCCGTAGGAATTCAGAGGTACAATTGTAATAAAGGAAGAGGAAATAAAAGAAACAAGTACAACAATAAAAAAGATATGCTGTGTGTTCAGACTTCAGTTTTATGTGAGTAGAACCAGTGTCCCCGGTGGTCCACTAGTAATACAGGGAAAGGTACACTACCTATATACTGTAGAGGGTGATACATTAACTATATAGCGTAGAAGGAGGTCACGTAGTCCTGGTGGTACAGGCGATATCACTCCAGTGTTTGGGTATGGAAATATATATATAGGTGTTTTGTTGGGGTTTTTTGGGGGGGATATGACCCCTGTCTAAGAGTAGGGAGATCTATCTACAGGTGTTGGGGTGAGGATATCACCCCTGTGTAGGGACAGGGAAATATATCTACAGGTGTTGGGGTGGGGAAATCACCCCAGTGTAGTGGTAGGAAAATATATCTACAGGTGTTAGGGGTGGGGAAATCACCCCTGTGTAAGGGTAGGGAAATATATCTACAGGTTTGGGGTGGGGATATCACCCCAGTGTAGTGGTAGGAAAATATATCTACAGGTGTTGGGGGTGGGGATATCACCCCAGTGTAGTGGTAGGGAAATATATCTACAGGTGTTGGGGGTGGGGATATCACCCCAGTGTAGTGGTAGGGAAATATATCTACATGTGTTGGGGGTGGGGATATCACCCCAGTGTAGTGGTAGGGAAATATATCTACATGTGTTGGGGGTGGGGATATCACCCCAGTGTAGTGGTAGGGAAATATATCTACATGTGTTGGGGGTGGGGATATCACCCCAGTGTAGTGGTAGGGAAATATATCTACATGTGTTGGGGGTGGGGATATCACCCCAGTGTAGTGGTAGGGAAATATATCTACAGGTGTTGGGGGTGGGGATATCACCCCAGTGTAGTGGTAGGGAAATATATCTACATGTGTTGGGGGTGGGGATATCACCCCAGTGTAGTGGTAGGGAAATATATCTACATGTGTTGGGGGTGGGGATATCACCCCAGTGTAGTGGTAGGGAAATATATCTACAGGTGTTGGGGGTGGGGATATCACCCCAGTGTAGTGGTAGGGAAATATATCTACATGTGTTGGGGGTGGGGATATCACCCCAGTGTAGTGGTAGGGAAATATATCTACAGGTGTTGGGGGTGGGGATATCACCCCAGTGTAGTGGTAGGGAAATATATCTACATGTGTTGGGGGTGGGGATATCACCCCAGTGTAGTGGTAGGGAAATATATCTACAGGTGTTGGGGGTGGGGATATCACCCCAGTGTAGTGGTAGGGAAATATATCTACATGTGTTGGGGGTGGGGATATCACCCCAGTGTAGTGGTAGGGAAATATATCTACAGGTGTTGGGGGTGGGGATATCACCCCAGTGTAGTGGTAGGGAAATATATCTACATGTGTTGGGGGTGGGGATATCACCCCAGTGTAGTGGTAGGGAAATATATCTACAGGTGTTGGGGGTGGGGATATCACCCCAGTGTAGTGGTAGGGAAATATATCTACATGTGTTGGGGGTGGGGATATCACCCCAGTGTAGTGGTAGGGAAATATATCTACAGGTGTTGGGGGTGGGGATATCACCCCAGTGTAGTGGTAGGGAAATATATCTACATGTGTTGGGGGTGGGGATATCACCCCAGTGTAGTGGTAGGGAAATATATCTACAGGTGTTGGGGGTGGGGATATCACCCCAGTGTAGTGGTAGGGAAATATATCTACATGTGTTGGGGGTGGGGATATCACCCCAGTGTAGTGGTAGGGAAATATATCTACAGGTGTTGGGGGTGGGGATATCACCCCAGTGTAGTGGTAGGGAAATATATCTACATGTGTTGGGGGTGGGGATATCACCCCAGTGTAGTGGTAGGGAAATATATCTACAGGTGTTGGGGGTGGGGATATCACCCCAGTGTAGTGGTAGGGAAATATATCTACATGTGTTGGGGGTGGGGATATCACCCCAGTGTAGTGGTAGGGAAATATATCTACAGGTGTTGGGGGTGGGGATATCACCCCAGTGTAGTGGTAGGGAAATATATCTACATGTGTTGGGGGTGGGGATATCACCCCAGTGTAGTGGTAGGGAAATATATCTACAGGTGTTGGGGGTGGGGATATCACCCCAGTGTAGTGGTAGGGAAATATATCTACATGTGTTGGGGGTGGGGATATCACCCCAGTGTAGTGGTAGGGAAATATATCTACAGGTGTTGGGGGTGGGGATATCACCCCAGTGTAGTGGTAGGGAAATATATCTACATGTGTTGGGGGTGGGGATATCACCCCAGTGTAGTGGTAGGGAAATATATCTACAGGTGTTGGGGGTGGGGATATCACCCCAGTGTAGTGGTAGGGAAATATATCTACATGTGTTGGGGGTGGGGATATCACCCCAGTGTAGTGGTAGGGAAATATATCTACAGGTGTTGGGGTGGGGATATCACCCCAGTGTAGTGGTAGAGAAATATATCTACAGGTGTTGGGGTGGGGAATCACCCCTGTGTAAGGGTAGGGAAATATATCTACAGGTAGGGGGTGGGGATATCACCCCAGATTAGTGGTAGGGAAATATATCTACAGGTATTGGGGAGGTATCACACATAATGTAGGAGCAGTGAATTATACCTATAAGTGTTTTGGTTGTGGGCATATTTCCACCTATTTAGAGGTAGGGTGATCTATCTTTAAATGTTTGGACAGGAACATCTCTATCAGGTATAGGGGCAGAAACATCTATTCACAAAAGACTAGAAATGTTGGGGAAATACAACAGGACTATCGATACTACATCTTACCTTCTCCTAGCTCTAGAAGGTAAATAAACACAAACATGTACAACAAATCTGTGAACTTAACATTGCTGTAGCTGAGAGAACAGCAGCTCAGTAATGAGGCTTTCATGGTTAACTTAAACACACCTAAAAAGTGTAGAGTAGGTCAAAATGTCAGGACTTCAATGTGATAGAAAACTACAAGTGTGCAACATTTCACTCCAAATACTTAACCAATAACTACATAAATAAAACATGGTGTATAGACTGTAAATATAACATAACAATATACACAACTAGTGATAACAGTTCTACAACTGGTGATAACAGTTTCACTACTGGTGATAACAGGTCAATATTTGTGAAAACACGTCCAATACTGGTGATAACAGGTCAATATTTGTGAAAACACGTCCAATACTGGTGATAACAGGTCAATATTTGTGAAAACACATCCAATACTGGTGATAACAGGTCAATATTTGTGAAAACAAGTCCAATTCTGGTGATAACAGGTTAATTTTTGTGATAACAGGTCCACTACTGGTGATAACAGGTCAATAATTGTTATAACAGGACGACTACTGGTGATAACAGGTAAAGTCTTGATATAACAGGTCGACTACTGGTGATAACAGGTCAATAATTGTGATAACATTTACACTACTGGTGATAACAAGTCAATAATTGTTATAACAGGTCGACTACTGGTGATAACAGGTCAATTATTGTTATAACAGGTTGACTACTGGTGATACAGGTCAATTATTGTGATAACATTACACTACTGGTGATAACAGGTCAATAATTGTGATAACATTTCCACTACTGGTGATAACAAGTCAATAATTGTTATAACAGGTTCACTACTGGTGATAACAGGTCAGTAATTGTTAAAACAGGTCCACTACTGGTGATAACAGGTCAATAATTGTTATAACAGGTGGACTTCTGGTGATAACAGGTCAATAATTGTTATAACAGGTCGACTACTGGTGATAACAGGTCAATTATTGTTATAACAGGTCCACTACTGGTGATAACAGGTCAATTATTGTGATAACATTTCCACTACTGGTGATAACAGGTCAGTAATTGTGATAACATTTCCACTACAGGTGATAACAGGTCAATTATAGTGATAACATTTCCACTACTGGTGATAACAGGTCAGTAACTGTGATAACATTTCCACTACTGGTAATAACAGGTCAGTAATTGTGATAACCCGTTCACTACTGGTGATAACAAGTCAATAATTGTGATATTACATCCACTACTGGTGATGTCTATTGTGAATACAAATGATATATTTAGTACGTTTTTGTGATTGTACCTGTTTTAAACAATCAGGTAAAAAATCATGCTATGTGCAATAAAAGAAAACATTGTTGGTCACACAAGAGGACTTTAACTTACAAACAAAGATTTCTGATGTCATGCATCCAACGTTCTATACCGCTGCGTAGACCGCCAATGTTGGTCTTCATCTCCTCCTCCCGGGTTATCAGTATCATGTTAAAATCCTCCACCAGGTCGCGCCACTTCTCCACATGACCTTGTAGTTTTGCCAGGAGTTCTGTGTCTTTGTCACTGAGGAGGATGGTGAAATGTGTTGCTAGTTTAGCCCACGACTTCTCACTAACATGAAGTCGCTTGGCTGTGATAAGGTTGGCCTCTGCAGTCACCTAGCAACAAAATCATTACAAGATAGTTACATAAGTGTTACAAGTATACAGAGATCATAATTAACATAACTTCATAGGTGTTATAATAACACAGACAATGAGACATTACATTGTAGACTATAGGATGACTTGTGACTTCAGTGTGCCAGATTATAGAGTGACTTGTGACTAAAACTGATGAGATATATTACATTGGATGTCACACTATAGTGTGACTTGTGATATATATATGAAGAGATATATCCTGAGCGACAGAATGTGTGGCGACTTGGTACTAAGTTTGACAAGACATACCTTGAGCGAGACTGTATGGTGACTATACTAAGTTTGACAAGACTTACCTTGAGCGAGACTGTATGGTGACTATCCTAAGTTTGACAAGACTTACCTTGATTGCCAGACTGTATGGTGACTATACTTAGTGTGACAGGACATCCTTTGAGAGCCATACTGTATGGTGACTATACTAAATGTGACAGGACATACTTTGAGTGCCAGACTCTATGGTGACTATACTAAATGTGACAAGACATACCTTGAGTGTCAGACTGTATGGTGACTATACTAAGTGTGATAGGACATACTTTGAGTGCCAGACTCTATGGTGACTATACTAAATGTAACAAGACATACCTTGAGTGTCAGACTGTATGGGGACTATACTAAATGTGACAGGACATCCCATGAGTGCCAGACTGTATGGTGACTACACTGAATGTGACAGGACATACCTTCAGAGCAAGACTGTATGGTGACTATACTTAGTGTGACAGGACATCCTTTGAGAGCCATACTGTATGGTGACTATACTAAATGAGACAGGACATACTTTGAGTGCCAGGCTGTATGGTGACTATACTAAATGTAACAGGACATACCTTGAGTGCCAGACTGGATGGTGACTATATTAAATGTGATAGGACATACCTTGAGTGCCACACTGTATGGTGACTATACTAAATGAGACAGGACATACCTTCAGTGCCAGACTGTACGGTGACTATACTTAGTGTGATTGGACGTACCTTCAGTGCCAGACTGTATGGTGACTATACTAAATGTGACAGGACATACCTTCAGTGCCAGACTGTATGGTGACTACACTAAATGTGACAGGACATACCTTCAGTGCAAGACTGTATGGTGACTATACTTAGTGTGATTGGACATACCTTCAGTGCCAGACTGTATGGTGACTATACTAAGTTTGACAAGACTTACCTTGAGTGCCAGACTGTATGGCGACTAAACTAAGTGTGACAGGACATACCATGAGTGCCAGACTGTATGGTGACTATACTAAATGTGACAGGACATACCTTGAGTGCCAGACTGTATGGTGACTATACTAAGTGTGATAGGACATACCTTGAGTGTCAGATTGTATGGTGACTATACTAAATGTGACAGGACATACCTTCAGTGCCGGACTGTATGGTGACTAAACTAAATGTGACAGGACATACATGGTGACTAAACTAAATGTGACAGGACATACCTTCAGTGCCAGACTGTATGGTGACTATACTAAGTGTGATTGGACATACCATGAGTGCCAGACTGTATGGTGACTAAACTAAATGTGACAGGACATACCTTGAGTGCCAGACTGTATGGTGACTATCCTAAATGTGACAGGACATACCTTGAGTGCCAGACTGTATGGTGCCTATACTAAGTGTGATAGGACATACTTTGAGTGTCAGATTGTATGGTGACTATACTTAATGTGACAGGACATACTTTGAGTGCCAGACTGTATTGTGACTATACTAAATGTGACAGGACATACCTTCAGTGCCAGACTGTATGGTAACTATAGTGTGACAGGACATACCATGAGTGCCAGACTGTATGGTGACTATACTAAATGTGACAGGACATACTTTGAGTGTCAGACTGTATGGTGACTAAACTAAATGTGACAGGACATACCTTCAGTGCCAGACTGTATGGTGATTATACTAAATGTGACAGGACATACCTTCAGGTATGGTGACTAAACTAAATGTGACAGGAAATACCTTCAGTGCCAGACTATATGGTGACTATCCCAAATGTGACAAGACATACCTTCAGTGCCAGACTGTATGGAGACTATACTAAATGTGACAGGACATACTTTGAGTGCCAGACTGTATGGTGACTATACTAAGTGTGACAGGACATACCTTGAGTGTCAGACTGTATGGTGACTAACCTAAATGTGACAGGACATACCTTCAGTGCAGACTGTATGGTGACTATACTAAGTGTGACGGGACATACCTTCAGTGCCAGACTGTATTGTGACTATACTAAATGTGACAGGACATCCCTTCAGTGCCAGACTATATGGTGACTATACCAAATGTGACAGGACATACCTTCAGTGCAGACTGTATGGTGACTATACTAAGTGTGATAGGACATACCTTGAGTGCCAGACTGTATGGTGACTATACTAAAGGACATACTTTGAGTGTCAGACTGTATGGTGACTAAACTAAATGTGACAGGAAATACCTTCAGTGCCAGACTATATGGTGACTATCCCAAATGTGACAAGACATACCTTCAGTGCCAGACTGTATGGTAACTATAGTGTGACAGGACATACCATGAGTGCCAGACTGTATGGTGACTATACTAAATGTGACAGGACATACCTTGGGTATCAGACTGTATGGTGACTATACTAAATGTGACAGGACATACCTTCAGTGCCAGACTATATGGTGACTATACCAAATGTGACAAGACATACCTTCAGTGCCAGACTGTATGGTGACTATACTAAATGTGACAGGACATACCTTGAGTGCCAGACTGTATGGTGACTATACTAAATGTGACAGGACATACCTTGAGTGCCAGACTGTATGGTGACTATACTAAATGTGACAGGACATACCTTGAGTGCCAGACTGTATGGTGACTATACTAAATGTGACAGGACATACCTTGAGTGCCAGACTGTATGGTGACTATACTAAATGTGACAGGACATACCTTGAGTGCCAGACTGTATGGTGACTATACTAAATGTGACAGGACATACCTTGAGTGCCAGACTGTATGGTGACTATACTAAATGTGACAGGACATACCTTGAGTGCCAGACTGTATGGTGACTATACTAAATGTGACAGGACATACCTTGAGTGCCAGACTGTATGGTGACTATACTAAATGTGACAGGACATACCTTGAGTGCCAGACTGTATGGTGACTATACTAAATGTGACAGGACATACCTTGAGTGCCAGACTGTATGGTGACTATACTAAATGTGACAGGACATACCTTGAGTGCCAGACTGTATGGTGACTATACTAAATGTGACAGGACATACCTTGAGTGCCAGACTGTATGGTGACTATACTAAATGTGACAGGACATACCTTGAGTGCCAGACTGTATGGTGACTATACTAAATGTGACAGGACATACCTTGAGTGCCAGACTGTATGGTGACTATACTAAATGTGACAGGACATACCTTGAGTGCCAGACTGTATGGTGACTATACTAAATGTGACAGGACATACCTTGAGTGCCAGACTGTATGGTGACTATACTAAATGTGACAGGACATACCTTGAGTGCCAGACTGTATGGTGACTATACTAAATGTGACAGGACATACCTTGAGTGCCAGACTGTATGGTGACTATACTAAATGTGACAGGACATACCTTGAGTGCCAGACTGTATGGTGACTATACTAAATGTGACAGGACATACCTTGAGTGCCAGACTGTATGGTGACTATACTAAATGTGACAGGACATACCTTGAGTGCCAGACTGTATGGTGACTATACTAAATGTGACAGGACATACCTTGAGTGCCAGACTGTATGGTGACTATACTAAATGTGACAGGACATACCTTGAGTGCCAGACTGTATGGTGACTATACTAAATGTGACAGGACATACCTTGAGTGCCAGACTGTATGGTGACTATACTAAATGTGACAGGACATACCTTGAGTGCCAGACTGTATGGTGACTATACTAAATGTGACAGGACATACCTTGAGTGCCAGACTGTATGGTGACTATACTAAATGTGACAGGACATACCTTGAGTGCCAGACTGTATGGTGACTATACTAAATGTGACAGGACATACCTTGAGTGCCAGACTGTATGGTGACTATACTAAATGTGACAGGACATACCTTGAGTGCCAGACTGTATGGTGACTATACTAAATGTGACAGGACATACCTTGAGTGCCAGACTGTATGGTGACTATACTAAATGTGACAGGACATACCTTGAGTGCCAGACTGTATGGTGACTATACTAAATGTGACAGGACATACCTTGAGTGCCAGACTGTATGGTGACTATACTAAATGTGACAGGACATACCTTGAGTGCCAGACTGTATGGTGACTATACTAAATGTGACAGGACATACCTTGAGTGCCAGACTGTATGGTGACTATACTAAATGTGACAGGACATACCTTGAGTGCCAGACTGTATGGTGACTATACTAAATGTGACAGGACATACCTTGAGTGCCAGACTGTATGGTGACTATACTAAATGTGACAGGACATACCTTGAGTGCCAGACTGTATGGTGACTATACTAAATGTGACAGGACATACCTTGAGTGCCAGACTGTATGGTGACTATACTAAATGTGACAGGACATACCTTGAGTGCCAGACTGTATGGTGACTATACTAAATGTGACAGGACATACCTTGAGTGCCAGACTGTATGGTGACTATACTAAATGTGACAGGACATACCTTGAGTGCCAGACTGTATGGTGACTATACTAAATGTGACAGGACATACCTTGAGTGCCAGACTGTATGGTGACTATACTAAATGTGACAGGACATACCTTGAGTGCCAGACTGTATGGTGACTATACTAAATGTGACAGGACATACCTTGAGTGCCAGACTGTATGGTGACTATACTAAATGTGACAGGACATACCTTGAGTGCCAGACTGTATGGTGACTATACTAAATGTGACAGGACATACCTTGAGTGCCAGACTGTATGGTGACTATACTAAATGTGACAGGACATACCTTGAGTGCCAGACTGTATGGTGACTATACTAAATGTGACAGGACATACCTTGAGTGCCAGACTGTATGGTGACTATACTAAATGTGACAGGACATACCTTGAGTGCCAGACTGTATGGTGACTATACTAAATGTGACAGGACATACCTTGAGTGCCAGACTGTATGGTGACTATACTAAATGTGACAGGACATACCTTGAGTGCCAGACTGTATGGTGACTATACTAAATGTGACAGGACATACCTTGAGTGCCAGACTGTATGGTGACTATACTAAATGTGACAAGACATACCTTCAGTGCCAGACTGTATGGTGACTATACTAAATGTGATAGGACATATTTTGAGTGCCAGACTGTATGGTGACTATACTAAGTGTGACAGGACATACTTTGAGTGTCAGACTGTATGGTGACTATATTGAGTGTGACAGGACATACCTTGAGCGCCAGACTGTATGGTGACTATACCAAATGTGACAGGACATACCTTGAGTGCCAGACTGTATGGTGACTATATTAAATGTGATAGGACATACCTTGAGTGCCAGACTGTATGGTGACTATATTAAATGTGATAGGACATACCTTGAGTGCCAGACTGTATGGGGACTATACTAAATGTGACAGGACATTCCTTCAATGCCAGACTGTATGGTGACTATACTAAATTTGACAGGACATACCTTCAATGCCAGACTGTATGGTGACTATACTAAATTTGACAGGACATACCTTAAATGCCAGACTGTATGGTGACTATACTAAATTTGACAGGACATACCTTGAGTGCCAGACTGTATGGGGACTATACTAAATGTGACAGGACATTCCTTCAATGCCAGACTGAATGGTGACTATACTAAATTTGACAGGACATACCTTAAATGCCAGACTGTATGGTGACTATACTAAATTTGACAGGACATACCTTAAATGCCAGACTGTATGGTGACTATACTAAATGTGACAAGACATACCTTCAGGGCCAGACTGTATGGTGACTATACTAATTGTGACAGGACATACCTTCAGTGCCAGACTATATGGTGACTATACCAAATGTGACAGGACATACCTTGAGTGCCAGACTATATGGTGACTATACCAAATGTGACAGGACATACCTTGAGTGCCAGACTATATGGTGACTATACCAAATGTGACAGGACATACCTTGAGTGCCAGACTATATGGTGACTATACCAAATGTGACAGGACATACCTTGAGTGCCAGACTGTATGGGGACTATACTAAATGTGACAGGACATTCCTTCAATGCCAGACTGAATGGTGACTATACTAAATTTGACAGGACATACCTTAAATGCCAGACTGTATGGTGACTATACTAAATGTGACATGACATACCTTTAGTGCCAGACTGTATGGTGACTATACTAAATTTGACAGGACATACCTTAAATGCCAGACTGTATGGTGACTATACTAAATGTGATAGGACATATTTTGAGAGCCAGACTGTATGGTGACTATACTAAGTGTGATAGGACATACCTTCAGTGCCAGACTGTATGGTGACTATACTAATTGTGACAGGACATACCTTCAGTGCCAGACTATATGGTGACTATACCAAATGTGACAGGACATACCTTGAGTGCCAGACTATATGGTGACTATACCAAATGTGACAGGACATACCTTGAGTGCCAGACTATATGGTGACTATACCAAATGTGACAGGACATACCTTGAGTGCCAGACTGTATGGTGACTATACTAAATTTGACAGGACATACCTTCAATGCCAGACTGTATGCAGCTTGACTCCACAATTCTCTCTCTTCAGTCAACATAAGCACCTGACCCTCCAGACGCTTACGTTGAAGTTCATACAGGTCATGGTACTCAGCCAACAGGCTAGCATTTTTCTGAGCTTCGATCAGGGCTGTTCGCAGCTGTTAGGGAGGTAATCAAATTAAGTAATGAGCATCATAAGGGAGAAGAACAGTAGCTTTCTTTTTCATTTTTCACTCTATCAAAACGAGCCAAAATGTGTATAATTTATCATAGTCTCGGACTCATTTAGCACCATTGTACCTATACAATAACTCAATGATGACAGAGAGGGGTGGATCAATGAGATACTTACATCTTCCTGGGCCTGAGCTGCCTCCTTGGTAACTTTGCGATCGTGCTCCTTGACCGCTGACAGTTCACTGTAAACACATTAAGGATGGTTAACACTGTAGATAATACAAAGGCTCACACCACCAGGCTGTGTTAGGTTAGACTGGGTATAAACACATTAAGGATGGTTAACACTGTAGATAATACACAGGCTCACACTACAAGGCTGTGTTAGGTTAGACTGGGTGTAAACACATTAAGGGTGGTTAACACTGTAGATAATACAAAGGCTCACACCACAAGGCTGTGTTA